ATTTGGGGTTATAAATTATAAAAGTACTGCCTCCTGTCAACATTGTATACTTCTATTTGATGATTTCTGTGTGAAACATTATATGGAAATGTTTCCAAGTATTTTCTGTATTAACTGTGAATGAATAGAACAAAATAAATTGCCTGTGATGGAAAAAAAAAAAAAGATATAAAATAGGGAGAAGCACCCTCACAGATACAGGACAAAGTAAACAGACATTGTTGTTCATTCTGCCCCAGGGGTGAATGGAACCAGCCATGCAGTCTCCAACCACCCTAAGAGAGAGAGAGCAAGTGCACACCCCCTTTCCTCAGTTTTAAGCAGTCACATATCCAGGGGAAAAAAAACACACCTCTATCAGGCCAGATACCCCAAGGTCATTGGTGGAGCAAATTGCCATAACACATACCCTGTGAGACTTTCTCAGAGTATAAGCTTTGTTTCTGAAAGTCATAGTCAGCAGAGGGTCGAGGGGAGTGGACACACAATCAAGTAGTTGATGGGGAAGGGGTTGGGTTCCTATGCATCCACTGTCCTATGCCCCTCAGGATGCGGCATGGAAAGCAGATGGGAAATATCACTTCTGAGACATTAAGAACCCTTGTGAAACAGATGGAAAGATGAAAAAGGTTTCACCAAGAGAAGTTCCTGAGTTGCCTGAGTTTCTGCTGCTTCTCTGTAAAACTGTTCAGAAGTCACTTCTGATCCCAGTCACTGTTGGCATCCACTATTCTGAGGACCACACAAAGACCAACACACCCCCTAAGAGAGCTAGGCACAAGGCTCTCTCTCCTGAAACAGCCAAGTTGGGTTTAAAGGCAGCCCTGTCCTTTGATGCTTAGAGAATTAACCTCCATGCATCAATGAAATTGGGTTACCCATTGTTTCTGCAATTTCATACAAAGTAAACTTAGATTCCATGGCACTAGTCTTGTGTTTAGTTCTTGGCACAGAATAAAATGAGTCACAACTTGTAAGCTGCAAAGGCAAAGCCCAAGTAGACAACACTTGTCTTTGGAGACCGTTCAAACTTCTCTCTTAAGGACTTCCTAAACTGTAAGTTGCCATCACAACTAAAAGCTGTTTCCAGACTGTTCAAACATGTTTCCCCAGAGCAGAGAATTCCTAGCCAAATGGGTCAGACTGTTGTGTACAAAAGAGGACAAAAAACAAAACAAAACAACACACACACACACACACACACACACACACACACACACACACACACACAAGGTGAGACAACATTGTGGCTAAGTTCCACGTCCTTTCATCCCCAAATTTCCCTACTCACTGCTGACGAGTCCAAGGACAGTTAACAGAGCAAAGTCATAAGTGAACAAACATTTTAAGACGATTATGCCTTAGGAATAATTTCCATATTTCCCTTGTAGAATTCATGTGTCAATTTGCTTAACTGTTTGTCACATTCAGATTCTAAGGACAATGATGATTCCTAACCACCATCGCTCTGTGCAGGTCCACCTTCCTCTCGGCAATAGGAAAAACTCACCTCCAAATCCTAGGAGCGACTTTGAGCACAGATAGAGACAGATGAAGGAAGGCATGGTGCACTGCAGTAATGCCAGTGTTCCTGAGGCTTCCACACTGCGCTCCCCCTCCTCCAGGAATACTCCCGGGGAAGCACAGAAAGCTCCCGGCGGTAAAAGCAAGGTTTTCACACTGTGCTTTCTAAATTCTTCCCTTGAATGCAACTCTCAAAAATCAAGCCAGGCGCTGGAAACAGTCACTGTGTAGCATTTGGGGATGTCCTTGGGATTCTGCTTCTAGTATTTTCCTGGGTTCCCGGTGTAGCAGCTCTGCATGACTGTGCAGTGCTCTCCAAAAATGCTGTAGAAGGAGATTCTAGGAGGAAGGACACGGAAAACCTGAAGCATCTAGGTCTCCCCGTGACCCTGGCTTCTAGGCATCAACATGGAATCTGCCGTTTGGGATCACTTTTTCAGTTTTCTTGGGTCTACTTTCAAAGTCCTTATATTTTCCAATTGTCTTATTAATACACATATCAAAAATCTACAGGCAGGCTGTTAAAATAAGCAGAATAATTACGTCAATGTTTGCCCTTTATTTTATCTTTTCCTTTCAATGTGTTTCCTCATATACTCTCCAAGTAGGTCTGAGTGTATCTAACGTGCCTTAGTCCTAAAGTGTAATACTAGCAGAAATGCGCTGGTCACACCAAACAGCTGAGTCTCTCCACTAAGTAGATGGGGCAGATTTCCAACAGAATCAATCCACTAATGGATGGTTCCTGTGGGAGGGGGCAGAGCCCACTCAACAAGGAAGAAGAAACGGTTCCAGTGATCTAGAATGCTATATGGAAGAGGGTAAAGTACCACCAATTGCAAACACTAATTTAATTTTAAGTCAACCCTATGAACAATATATTATCATTCCATCTTTAATGGATGAAGAGAATATCTTAAAACAGTCAAGTGATATGGTTCATATTAAAAAAAAAAAAACAGCAAGAAAAGCTCAACCCAGCTGCAAAATAATGAAAAGCAGGAACCGACACTTCATGACTGCGGAATGATATAACCACATGTGTGACAAGAGGTGATCAGTCCCATCGATCATGAGAGAAATATAAATTCAAACTCCAACAAGGGGGTGATGGTGTCAAATGGTATATATTAAAACTCCAATTTACATATATCAATTAACAAACACTAAAGAACTGTAACAGTTCCAAGTCTTGGGAGAAACATAGACCCATACTCTAATGATGATTTATTTAAGGCGGCAAAACAAAGCTGAACATTTAGATACTCTGTGGTCTGGCAATTCTACTTGATCCAAGACAACTTCTCAGACCTGTGCATCAGGAACCACAGTTGCAACCAAGAATGCCAAAACAACTTCCTCCTCACAGCATGATTCTCAAAACACCCACCGAAAATTGAGGCTGTTTCATGCACAGCAGTATTAAACATGTAAGAGCAAACACATTTACTACACATACCACAATACAGGTAAAATTTCATACCAGAAAGTATTGAAGTGTTATAAACCACAGGATGTGTATTTTAAAAGTTTAAAACAGTGAAACTTAAAATTCCATTTTCAGAATAGTCATGAATGTCATTAGAGTATAAAAATAAAATATAGGTTAGACAAATAGGTTGGACCTAAGGATTTTGTCAGGTGGAGACAGAGAATGGGATGAGGTCTTAGCAAAATGTTAGGCAAAGGTTATTGTCAAAATTCTAGGTTTTGAGCCAGGCAGTGGTGGTGCACGCCTTTAATCCCAGCACTCAGGAGGCAGAGCCAGGAGGATATCTGTGAGTTCGAGGCCAGCCTGGTCTACAGAGAAAGATCTAGGACAGGCAATAAAACTACACAGAGAAACTGTCTCAAAAAATCAAACAAAAAAAAATTTAGGTTTTGTTTTGGGAAGTGTTTTCAATGCTTACTATATTGTTTAAATTATCTAATAATGAAATAAAACACAGGGGAAATACCAACGAGATTGTTACAATGACCAAAGGTCATGAGAACTTCAATACTGTATATCTGAGGTCCTGAAAACAGCCAAAGAACCATTATAAAAACATAAATAAGCAAAAACTGGCAGTCATCATACAATGATGCTGATGTTGTCAGAGCTCAAGTTCCATCCAGTCTACAGACCCCAAGCCCTGGACTACCTCCAGGGTGGGGCCAGACTCTCTTTCTCAATATGATACACAAGAGCAGCACACACTATTTCATCGTCTTGTGATGGTGAGTACCTGTCCGTGAGGCATAGTTTGAACTGATGACAAGTCTAAACAGATATTGCTGGGCAACAGAAAGACCAGGCTAGACCAGAACCCTTGGACTAACTCGCACCAACAGCACTCAAGGGGACATTGCAGCTACCTGATCTCAGTTTCTTCAGGATGTGAGGGGTTGATAGGTTGATAAAATGATTATATAGTGACCAACACTTTCAGTTGCTTATACACTGAAGATTTACCAACAGTGTTGGTGTGACCTTCACTAGAAGAGTCTACAGGGCATGAGTTATTCATACTTTCAACTGAAAAATGATTGAAACGAAGTCAGTTAAAAATTTCCCCAGAGTCATACAGTTATGAAAGATGGGAGAGTTTTCATCCTGCCTTTCTTCCTGCTCCATTGTTCACGCTCTTAATATCTCATATGTGTAGATATGCAACCCACACATGGGCTGACACATATATACATATGCAAAAATGCTCACAAGTACAGATACACAAATGTGCACATACAAGCACTAAATATACAAATATATATATATATATATATATATATATATATATATATAGAGAGAGAGAGAGAGAGAGAGAGAGAGAGAGAGAGAGAGAGAGGGACTCCTGAGTATAGATGCATATATTGCCGATATATATTCACACATATACGTAAAGTAGTTATTTTATCCTTGTGAAGAAATGCCTGGAACGACCAACTTAAATAAGGGAAGGCTTGTTTACTTATTTTGTGTGTGTGTGTGTGTGTGTGTGTGTGTGTGTGTGTGTGTGTGTGTGTGTATATGTGTTCATGTGCTTGAGTGTGGGGAGGTCAGAGGACAGCTTTTGGGAGTCAGCTCTCTCTTGCCACCATGCTATTTCCAGGGACCATCAGGCTTGGTGGTAAACGTCTTTTCTAGCTAAGCATCTCACCAGTCCTAGAAAGATCTATTTTGTCTCATGGTTTCAGAGACCTTTGGCTCCACTGGTTCTGAGCCCATGTGGAGGCAGAACAGCACAGAGAGGGCAGCATGTGGTGGAGTAAGCTGTTCACCTTTTCCTAGACAAGAAGCAGAGAGTGAAGGAGGGACTGTGATCTGATTCTAGTGAGCTGCTCCCTCCAGGCACAGCACCAGGATGTTGTAGAATATTATTTTAAGGTGTGTTACTTTTGTTTATGTTGCATTTGTTTGACTCTGTGAAGCTGTGTTACTGTGCCTGTGTCTAATATTAGACCACCTGATGGTCTAATAAAGAGCTGAACAGCCAACAGCAAGGCAGGAGAAAGGATAGGCAGGACTGACAGGCAGAGAGAATATAGAGAAAAAAAAAAGAGATGGAGGAGAAAAGAAGTACCCAGAGAAAGAGGAGGCCAGCCACCTAGCTACCCAGCAAGCCATGGAGTAAGACTAACATTTACAGAAGTAAGAGAATGGGAAAATCCCAGAGGCAAAAGGTAGACAGGATAATTTAAGGAAAGCTGGCAAGAAACAAGCCAAGCTAAAGCCAGGCATTTATAAGTAAGAATAAGTCTCTGTGTGTGATTTATTTGGGAGCTGGGTGGCAGTCCCCCCCCCCCAAGTAAACACCACCACAACAACAACAGCAGCAGCAGCAGCTAGTGGCAAAATGTTCATAAATTATTCCATGGGTAATATACTTTCACACACACATACACAATCATGGAACTATCTGAAGAACACATCTGTGGCAGTTTGAATGTAGCTGGCCCCCACAATCTCATATAGAGTAGCACTCTTAGGAGGTACGGCTTTGTTGAAGTGGGTATGGCCTTGTTGGAGGAAGTGTGTCACTGTGGGGGCAGGCTTTGACTATCCTATGCTCATGATACCACCCAGTGAGTCAGTTGACTTCCTGTTGCTTTCAAGTTGTAGGACTCTCAGATCCAGCACCATGTCTTCCTGCAGGCCACCATGTTCCCTGTCATAATGATAATGGACTTAACCTCTGAAACTGTAAGCTGCCACCCTAATTAAATGTTTTCTTTATAAGAGTCCCATGGTCATGGTGTCTCTTCACAGCAATAAAAACCCTGAGACAGTATCTATAAACATATGTATAAATGCACAGGTATATTTGTACACAGGAATGTAGATGCTTTGCAAACACACTGATACACACTCATACATACAGGTGTATGTACATTCATATGCGCACATACAAACATTTGTATAGAAACTTTTAGATGACAGAAATGGAAGAATAGCTTGGAAGTTAAGAGAACTTGCTGCTCTTTCAGAGAACTGGAGTTTGGTTCAAAGCCCCCACTCTGGGTGGCTCATAACTGCCTGTAACTCCAGCTCTAGGGGATCTGACATCCTCTTCTGGTCTCTGTGAGCACCCACACACATACATGCACACAGATATATGCATATGCATATAAAGAATAAAACAAATCATAAGAAACACTCACATGTTCATTTACACATTCATGAACAAGCATAAAGGTCTATATACTTCTATAAGTATTCATATGTGTGTAGATGCATACACATATAACTATATAACTAAACATATGTAAATGTACATAGGTGCATATATTCATGCACAAATATATAGAGAGATGTGTTCAGATATACAGAGGTAGATACACACACACACACACACACACACACACACACACACACATTTGTCTGTTGTTTTTTTTCAGCATTACCCAAGAGATTCAGTAACTTCTGTTAAGATTTTCTATCCATCTTCCTCCAGCACATATTTCACGAAGTTAGACTTGAGAAAAGCAAAACCAGTGTGACTCCATGGAACACTCACCCCCACAACTTCCATTTGAGGACTCCTATTTAAAATCACTGTCCATTTGTAGGTGCAGGCCTTAGTATGGCTTGTCCCTTCACATCAGGGGCCACAGGAGCCTCTGGTTGTATCCCAATGTCAATTCTCTGGTGAATAAGTGCCAAATCCACAAGTGGCTATATAAGATAAACTTAGAAGAAGCCAATATTTGAAATTATACATATTTTTTTTATATAATTATTATACTTTGGGGAAAAGGTATGAAATGTTATTTATATTTTTCATTTATAAAATGTATTCATATTCTCATGTGGTAAACAAAGATTAGATTAAAATAAAAATGAATAGTGACAATTTTCATAATGAAAATAATAAAAACACTATTATTATTATTATTATTATTATTGTATTATTACATATATAGAAAACTAGTTTAAGTTTGGCTTGTGTTATCTCTCTCTGTTTTTTTTTTTTTAGCTTAATTCTGGTGGCTTTACCCTTAGAGTATCTAAATTTGAAGTTTTTCCAATGGGTTTAAGAACCGTGTTACAATTTCTATCTTAAATGTCCCTCAAAGGTCCATACATTGAAAGACAACCCTGCTGATGGTGCTCCCGGGGCATGGTGGATCCTTTGGGAGCTAGAGCTAGTTTGGTCGTTGGAGATGTAGCCACAGGGGTAATGGATCCCAGGCTGCCCTTCATGGCTTTGCTTTCCTGAGTAAGGTGAGAAGTTCTTCCCATCCTGCACTTCCATCAGGAGGCCCTTCTTCCCATCATGCTCTCCCATCAAGAGTCCCTTCTTCCCATCATGCACTTCCATTAGGAGGCCCTTCTCCAGGGGCCCCAAAGCCAATCACCATGAACTGAGGCCTCTGGTGTTGGCACCCAGCCAAACCTTTCCAACCTAGCTGAGTGTCTCACATATTGTCACACTGATGGAAAGCCAAGGAGGAAGAAGGGGCAAAAGAGGAAAAGAAGAAAGAAACACGATTCCCTGTAAACATCCATGCTGACATAACTAGTGAGATGGGGAGAGTCGGAAATGGAATGAGAGGTACAAGTGACTCAAAAGGGCTCCTCAAATGCCAAATATGAAAAGAAGCAAGAACCCACGTAGTTAGTACAGGGAGGAAAGTCAACAGACAATGCGTGCACACACACACATACACACGTGTGCACACACACACACACACACACTGTATTTTATCACAACTTGTCAAATATCTAGGTCTCCTGTATAGAAATCTAATCTCCTAAAGATGCTGCCTTTCCATTGGACGTTTAACATAAAACCGCAGGAAAGGAAAAATGAAAGAAAATACAGATGCGAAGTTTTATCTCAAACTAGAAATTTTGGTTTTCTGATGTTTTGGTAGAAAACCCCTGGAGATTTCAAATAGAAAGACCAAAGAGTTTTCTCTCCAGTGGAATCTCAAGGTGAAGGACCCCGTGGTCCCTGAGCTGGCTTTTATTATGAAAAAAAAAAAAATCAAGTGCTATATGATAGCTGCTGGGCTGGCTGGCAGCAGAGGGAGGGAGAGGCACACAAAGCTGGATGTTCCACGTGACTCTTCATCTCAGACGCAGGAAGGTAGGGAAAGATCCTGGTGGAGGACTCAAAACTTGGCAGCTGCCTCCAGGCTCGTTGGAAAGCTGTGATTTAAATATATATTGCCACAGAGACTCCAACTACATCTGGAGTCTACAATTTAATTTCTCCCGGCATTAAACAGATGTTTACTTTTAAAATGTTAAACAGTATATGTTTAAGAATATTTTAAAGCTAATGTTTGCCAAATACTGTAGCTAAAAACTTGCTATTTTTATGCAGCTTAAATGGTTTTAGCATAGAACAATGGTCCTACAAAAGTCCAAGGCAATAAGCTATCAAACCCCTGGTTCTGAGTGGGAGAGGAAGAGCCTCTGAGGTTTAAGTACCCAGAGTCTGTATGAATGGTCTGTGTCTGACCTACAAGTGCAATCCAAGGGGACAATCTTCACCTTAAATGTTTAAAATCTCCAAGAAATTTGAATGCCTGGTAGGATTTAAAAGGACACATCATAAATGTGTAAATATAAAGTAAGACTACCTCCCAGAGATCCGGGAGGTACCATAAGACTCAGCAGCACCCAGCACAAAGCAGGAGTCTCCACAGGGGTAAGAAAGGGTGGCTGAGAGAAGTAGCCGCCACTGCAGACATCGTGGCAGGGATCCACGAAGCAGCAATGAAGCTGGCTGAGGGAAGACAAAGGTCCAGGCGGTGAGACAGCCCCGTTGGACTGTGTGGGAAAAGCTGCTGCATACAGATAGGAGAAAGCTGAACAGATTCTAGAGTCATTTCGCACAGACAGGTGACTCAGGCAAACATTCATTGTCCACTGTTTTTAGCACACTAGTCTAACTCCCAGGCAAGGTGGCGGTGACCTACAGGCCACAGAATCAGTGCCGATTATTGTAACAGTCCCTACCAGTGTATGTTAACCCCCCTAAACAAAAACCCAGCAGAGGTCCTCCGTGCTGAGCTGCTGGATGATTTCTCCATCAATTTAATAACAGCTTTTTATTTGCAGGGGGTAGGGGGGGGGAAACAGGCAATCACTTTCCCACTGTGAAAATGAAGCCTTGGAGACGCTGAAAGACTGAGCGTGGCTAAGTCATGATTTTGCACACTGTCTACCTAACTGGGGGCTTCCTCCCACCTACTCACCCCACTAATACCTCACTGCCATTCTCTGGGGTTCCGTGTAAATCCTGAGAGAGCCACATAGTTCTAAACCAACAGGCTTTGCTCCGTCCCTGTTTTCAGATTATGATCTGGGGCAGCTGACCACAAGTAGAGAAATTTACCTCCCAAAATATGTGGCAGAGGCAATTCTTTATTTTCTCATTTTTTTCAACATTTCCTTTTCTTCAGAGAGGTCAGCATATCTGCAATCAGGATGTAAAACCAACAGAGTCCACTGCAGCAGTGATCCCACCAAAGCCGTCACTAATCGTAAGACATCTTAGAACAGAAGAATCATGTTGTCTTTTGCCAGACAATAAATACCTGTGAAACTCACAGGCTGAACATTTTAAGAGACATGGCTCTAAAAAACAGTTCTTACGAGCTTACCCAGCATGTATCTGATCTTGATCAAATCTTTTGTGTGCAGGTTCTTTACCTATAATTCCACTGGAAATGGAGGCACAGAAGAAACTGGCCAATGGCCAAACTGTATTTCCATTGTATGCACTGTGAGGAATATGTGGATCTGTTGTTAGGCAGATCCAAAATTCTTTGAATAGATTTGCCACAATGGATCAGATTTTTTTTAATGGAATAATCATATCCCCACAGCACTCGCCAGATTATGACACATTTCATTGTTTTGTTAGCAAATGATCTATTTTTTATTAGCTTTCATTCAAATGCTTGGGTCCTAATACAGCTTCACAGAGTTAGTCTCTGGCCCTTCTCTTCATCCACAAAGAGGAATGGATATGTCTTCCAGTGTTGTAAGGGTTAAAATGTATTAACAAAAATTCATTTCAGGATTCTTTCTAGAACAAAATGAGATACTGGGAAAGACTAAAGGGACAGTTGAGGAGTCTGTGGCAGGTGTTCCGTATCCAGCAAGTGCTCTGTCAGTGTTTGATACAAAAGGATAGTTCTTAGTAGAGCAATTAATAAACATCTGAAAACAACTTAGAACCATGATGGTGAGACATCCCAACGTGTCAAATTATTCCATCTGATTCAAAGTGAGAATCTGCAGTAAATTAAAACCAAAGGCAAAGTGCTTCAAAGAGGAGAGTGACTTGAATAAAAAACGAACTCTGTGCTAAGTGCCGAGACGATGACTCAGAGAAGTGGATTGCAGCGCTGCGCGGCACTTACTGTATCTGTCAATGGCCGCCTTGTTTCCAGGGGCAAGCCATTTCCCCCCCACCCAATTAATATAAAGATCTTTTTATCCCTTCAGCGTTTATCTGATCCTGTTCTAAAAAGAAGATTCAGAAACTGAAATCTAGAACAAAAAGGGAAATGAACAAGCCTGGCTGCTTTGGTTACATTTTACCTTTTGTTGTTGTTTTTAGAGCTTCCAATTGGCTGGACTGGAGTCCCTGGTTGTAAAGTGGGCGTTGGAGCCTAGCTGTTGGGGAGACTATCACCCATGTGTCCCGTTGTCTGCTGGCTTCATATAGCATCCTTACATCACTGAGTAGAAAGACTTATTCGTTTATCTTTGAAACAAGGTGTGCAAAGGCAGGTCTGTTTAAAAGGAAACGGTCTCTTGCACTTCATTCTAAATGAACTCACTTCTTAGGCTTCCCCAAAGGGGAGCTCAAAAGCATGCCAGATGTCTCACTCTTGGTTAGGGCCACCTTCCACTGCTCTGCCCTGTTGTGGGGAAGTTGGGGAAGGTTCCCCTGCACTCTGTCACTCAGGTTTTGCAGACACTCCTACTTGTGTTGACTTGGGTTCAAAGTAGGAGACACCATCAGTAATGAAAAGTGAAGATGTTAAGACCACGGCGTTCCCCAAATAAGACACATTGGTGTATTGATTATTTCAGGCTGAAATCATTGATGACCCGTGGCTTCAGGAAGGGTCATTTGGGCTGTCTTATGTACAGAAATCTATAAAGATCCCCCTGAGAAGGATGTCCTTCAATCTACCATGCCTGGAAAATTAGCCCTGATCATCAAAACTTGGTTATTAGGGCTCTGATAAACCTGAACACACACACAGTGAGATACCCCAAACATTTTACAACCTCTTACACCCCTCCAATTTATCTCTGTTAGGATTTGGCCAAGGTATTGGTGGTCCTCAACTGGTAGCTCTGTTTTGGGAGAGGGTAGAAACTTTAGGATGTGGGGCCTCACTGAAAGAAGTGGTTTTCTGAGGGGTGGGTCTTGAGGTTTGTCTTGACTCACTTCCTGTCCTCTCTCTGCTTCTTGTTCAATGGTGTGACTGTGAAGAGGTAGGGAAGCCCCGGGTACACACAGGCTGTAGCCGCCATGCCGACCTTATCAACATGGCTTCTCTGCTGTGATGGGCTGTGTCTCTGTAAACTGAGGGCCAATGTAACTCTTTCTTCCGACATGGCTTTCTCCAGGTATTTTATCACAGCAATGAGAAATGTAATTAATGTAATTCTCGGTAGCATCCTGGAACTTATTACTCTAGCCTAGAGATCCATTTGCTATGTCATTCTCTCACATATTTATTGTGTTTTGCCCAGAGAAGATAAACACATCATGTTTTATTCCTCTCAGGAAGATCCTTGTGTGCATGCAAAACATAAAATTTTTATGCATTTCTTTCTTTTCCTTTGTTAATCAACATTAGATTCTGGATCCAGCCCAGAAGTCCAAGTAAGAATTAAAGGAGGGAGCTGGAACTACCTGGTAGCATACACACACCACACACACACACACACACACGTATAATCCCAGCATTCAGGAGACTGGAACAGGGGGATCATGGTGAGTTGGAGCTCAGACTGGGCTACAGATATGAGTTCCAGGCCATCTTCACAGGGAGAGTGAGTTCCTGTCTCAGACAAGCTAAATCAAAACAACCAAGGACTCTACTTTCCCCTACAACTGTTAAAGGACTTCCTCCATGCTCGGGTGCACAGTTTCTGCCTGGGCCACATCCCTCTAAAAATGGCAGCTCTGGTAAGATGACCACTTTTTTTTTTTTTTTTGCCTCTTCAGCTCTCAATGGGTCCTGCTTACACTACATATTTCACGTTCTTACAATTCAGACCTATGGGGTGGTAACCGCTTCTCCTAGTGTTCATCTCATGGTGCTGGAACTGCCCCCATATGTTTCATTTTTTTTTACACCCTTCCATGTGACTACTTTACATTCTCAACCCCTCAGAGCTGAATGAGTGCCCCACTCAGTCCTTGGCATGGTGTGCTCAGAAATCAAACTAACTGAAAGAAAGGGTTGGTCCTTAAATAATTTTGTTAGAGCACAATTACAGATTTTGGCACTCAGAGTGCGTGTATTTTTATGTATGCAGGTTTACATATTCATGTGTGTATACCTGTATGTCTCTCACTGACTCTGACACCTTCCAATTCGGCTAGTCTGGCTGGCCAGGGAGCCCCAGTGTTCTATCTCTGCCTCCCCAGGGATTACAAGTGCATACAACCACACTCAGTTTTTCTCATGGGTTTCTGGGGCTCAAACAGCTGTTCATGCATGTCTATCAAGGGCTTCATTGACTAATCCATCTCCAATCCCATATGCATATTTTTAAAGGCATTTATTTGTCAAGGCTGCACGAGACAGGGGAGCGCGGAACTCACTCATAATGTTATGAGCAAGTAGTCTAAAAGAGTTTAAAGAGCTAATGAATTTTATTATGTTGTGATTGTGTGCGGTGTTATCTGAAGTAAATGGGATTTCATGTATGGTAATTTAAGCTCTTCCTAAAGATAATTATTTGGCAGCTTGGTTATTCAGCCTGCTCTATGAGGCCTGACAACTCGGCACATTTACAGGCAGGTGTTGGAAACACAAACTCCGTCTTTGAATCCTTAGTGTCCCAGGTAATTAGAGCTATCAGGTTTCAATCTGTTCGGGAAAACTCACAGTTCATTAGCTGTGTACGCATGTAACTAGGTAGTACGACTTTAATAGATTAAAGTAGCCTGAGAAATTGGAATAAGTTATGTGTTTTGGTTTATAGCATTTATAAAAACCCCTAAAATAGCTGTGAATGTGCAGCTCGAACACGGAAATTCATATTCATGTAAGTTACCATCTCTGTCAGTTTGTAAGGATTATAATCACACAGCTGTGTGAAGATTGAAGTCATCAAGGTAAGATGGGACAAGGTGGAGGTTAGTCCAGTGATTGTGGGTCTTAAACTGGCACAAGGTGGGGCCCCGAAAGACATGATCCAGGGGAAGGCATGTGCCAGTGTGGAACAGAAGCAGCCCCAAAATCTCTTCCCCTCCCTGCTTCTGCCCCCACAGCAGCATTTGTAGGAATTTCCAAATAACATAAAAAGAACTAGCAGAAGTTAATTTTCTAAAAGACTTATTTGTTTTTATGTGTATGTGTGTGCATCTGCATAAGTTCATGGGCACTCTGTGCATGAGGGTGTCTGCAGAGGCCAGATGCATTGGACCTCCTGGAACTGGAGTAATGCAGATGGTTCTGAGTTGCTGTATAGGTACTGGAAACTGAACCTGGGTCCTCTATTAGAACAGCAAGTGCTCTTAACTGCCGAGCCACTTCTCCAGCCCAAATTCTGGGGGGGTTGACTGTTTCTTAATGTGACCCATTACAAGCCTTTAATGAAATGACATCATCCTGTATGATGGGAAAATGAGAACTAATGAGAGAAGAGAAACAAGTGCAACTGTCGCAATGCTTCCCACATTCCAGATGTAAACCTATGAGAAGTAAGGACGTGAGTCCCTCAGGCAACACCTAAACTCCACTTACCAGGAGTACAGTTTAGTTCACACAAAAGTACACTGGAAGAGCCTTATGGAAAGCCACATTCAGTAGCACAGATAACGACGACACTATAGAATGAAGTAAGTATTAGGTGCCATCGCACAACCACTGAGCTAGGAAATGCAAATTAAATAATAATTCTCATGTTGGTAGGAGTTTCAAGGACTAACATTAAACCCCTGTGAGTGAGTGCAGTGAACTTGGAGACAACCATACAATAGGTTATACGAATAGTAAGGTCCCATTCCAAGACCTGATGATTCCAGTATTAGAATTAGCATCCTCCAAGATGAAAAGAGGTTTAATGAACAAAAATATTTCTTTAAATACTTTCAATAATTCAAAAGTCGCCTTTTCCCAACTACAAATGAGGAAGCTAAGTCCATCTTTTTAAATAGTATCTTCAATATTTAAGTATGAAATATATATACTATATAGATATTATAAAATTGTAAGTGTAGATATGCACTCTCACACACACACACACACACACATCTGCATCACAAAGTAAGAATACTATAGTGGATCCATTTCTCTATTCAGTAAATACCTATTCAGTGCCTCTA